TTGTCTGATATGTTATTGGCAAAAAATATATATATATTCCCAGTTTGTAGGTCTTCTATTAACTCTTTTGGTGAAATCTTTTAATACACATAAAGTGTCAATTTTTTAGTAGGTCCCAGTTACCTAGTTTATCTTCTGCTGTTTGTGTGTTTTCAGTTGTTTGACAGTATATTGATGCCATATATTGTTGTTACTAAGTGCCATCAAGTTGGTTTTGACTCCTAGCAACACAGTGTAGGGTTACCAAGGAGCAATTGGTAAGCTTGAATTGCTGGCGTTGAGGTTCAAACTGACCTTGCAGTCCTATGCTTTAGCCTAAAGCACTACACCATGACTCTTATGCCATATATTAAGGCCCAAAAATGTTTTTTTCCATTGATTGTCTTTATAATTTACATTTTACATTTAGGTCTTTGATACACCTTGAGTTCCTTTTTGTGTATGGTATGAGCTTTGGGTCCTATTTTCATTCTTCAGCAAATGGATATACAGTTTCATTCTTCAGCAAATGGATATACAGTTTGGGGATACATAGTTTTTCCAGCATCATTTGTTAAAGAGAGTATCACTTCCTCATTTAAGATGTTTCTTTCTTTTGTCAAAGATCAGCTCTTTGGATCAGTTCAGTAGATGGGTTCGAGTCTTAGTTTTCGTTTCTGTTCCATTTGTCTGTGTGTTTGTTATTATACTGTACCAGCATGTTTTAATTACTGTGTCTGTGTAGTAAGTTTTGAAATCAGAAAATGTGAGAGTCCTTCAACTTTGTTCTTTTTTAATGCTTATCCAAGGTCTCTTTCCTTTCCATATAAAGTTGATTAGTTTTTCTGCAAGTTGGAGATTCGTTTTTCTATCTCCATTAAAAATGAGGTTTAAATCTGGATTGTAATTGCTTTATATCTGTAGATCATTTTGAGTAATATTGACATTTTTACAATGTTAAGTCTCCCTATCCATGAGCATGGTATATTCTTCCATTTATGTCTCTTTCTTGGGCTGAGCTTTCTTGAGAATCAAAATCAGAGAAACATATATATGTATCCATATAAAGAGAAGTTAATTATCTTGGAGATAGCTTACAATTGTAGAGTCCCAGGTCCTCAGCAGAATAGAGAAAGTTGTTTCCGAATGTCCATTATATTGGGAGTAGGCTATACACCCAAGGAAGCATCTCTTCAGTTGATTGTCTGCTCATAGTCATTCATCATAGAGTTTATCACCATGAGAATAAGCACATCTTAACTGCTAAAACTTTGGGAATCCTGACTTACTCAAGTTGACACAGAACTCTATTACAATCTCTTTTGGTTTCTTGTAGTAGTGTTTTCTGGTTTTCTTTGTATAGGTCTTTTGTGTCTCTGGTTAGATTTATTCCTAAGTAATTCATCTTTTTCTAGGGCGGGGGGGGGTGACTTTCGTTAATGGTATTATTTTCCTAGTTTTCTTTTCAGAGTTCTCGTCAGTTTAAAGACATCTAACTGCTTTTTGCATGTTGGTCTTATACCTTGTCACATTAGTGAATCTTTCCATTAGTTTCAGTAATAATTCTTGTTTGCCAATTTGGATACCTTTAAATGTCCTCTTTGCCTTATTTATCTGGCTGAGACTTCCAGAAATATATTGAATAGGAATAGTGATAAAGAGCATCCTTGTTTGGTTCCCATTCATAAGGGGAATGGTTTCAGTTTCTCTCCATTGAGATAAATGTTGACCATTGGTTTTGTGTAGTCATTGTTCTTTTTATGTGCTATAGAGTTGGTTGCCAAAGCTGTAAATCTTAGTGGAAACAGAAAGTCTCATCTTTATCCTGCAGAGTAGCTGGTGAACTTGACCTCGTAACCTTGTGGTATGCAGTCCAGTGTTGATCCTACAGAGCCACCACACTCCCATGTATACTCCCTTCTAGTCTTATTTTGAGGATTTTTATCAGGAATGAGTGTTGGATTTTGTCATACCTTTTCTACATCATTCAATGCAGTTCTTTTCCTTTATTTTTTTGTGTGGTAAAGTATGTTTATTGTTTTCCTAATCTTGAAACATCCTTGCGTACCTAGTGTGCATCCCTCTTGGTCATGAGGTATTATTTTTGATATGTTGTTAGATTCTATTGGCTAGAATTTTGTTGAGAATTTTCGTATCTATGTTTGTCAGGAATATTGTTTTGTGTTTTCTTTTTTAGTAATGTCTTTATATAGAGTACTCTTGGTGTGGTGCTGTAGGATCAACACTGGACTGCAAACCACAAGGCAGGCAATTCAAACCCTCCAGCTGTTCTTCAGAAACCTCATACAGTGTCACTATGAGTTAGAACTAACTCGATGGCACTTAAAAACAATATGAGTCAAAATCTCTGAATGTTTGGTAGAATTCTTTTGTTGGAAGTTTTTAATGACCTGATCAATATCTTATTATAGGTTTGTTCAAATTTTCTACCTCAGTCTGTGTTACTTTAAGTAGATGGTGCATTTCTAGAAATTTGTTAATTTAACTATTAACCATCTGCAAAGGAAAACCCTGTTTCCCTAAACAAGGTCACATTCCCAAACACAGGGCGATTAGGACCTCAGCATATGTTTTTGGGAAATACAATTCAGTCCTTAACAGCAGCTTAATAATAGTAGGAATAAGGGTTTGCTTTACTAAAAGTTATCTTGTAATGCTTATCTCCACTTAATCTTGATGTATTCAAGAGATTAACATAGCCTTCAAAGCTTCACAGCCTTCCTGGGCTTAATCCTTCGATCTGTCCCAACCACTTTACTTTTCTTTCATACCCTCTGTTACCTAGGTTTACACTGGAGACAGTAGACAAGAACCTTTTTCACTTCTGGCCCATTCCAAATCTTACAGCTATTCCTTTAATCAAGTATGATTGATGAATTTAGGGGAGTACTTATATTATGCCCATAGTCAAAGTTACATATATTGACTGTCAGCATATTATACTCTCCCTCTAGAGTACTCTAGACTTGTGCTAGCCAATACAATAACAACTAGTCATATCTATTTAAATTAAAATTAATTTAAGTGAAATGAAATTTTAATTTCTGAGTCACACCAGTACATTTCAAGTGCTCACTAGCCACATATGGTTAATGACTACCATATTGGACAGTGTAATGGTACACATTTTGGGGTTTTTTAAGTTTTCATTGTGAATTGAGTGATAATATACATGGGAGAACATGAATTTTACACTCGTCATTTCATTGCAGTGATTACAGTCTCCTCCATGCATCATCATTCAATAGTATTTTTGCTTCAGTTACCTCTGGGGATTTTTTGGTGGGGGGCATGCACACAGAAACACTCAGGAATATATAATCACTTAATCAAAGGGCACATCTACAAGCCTGCTTCCTGTCCACCAGCACCCAGTCCCTCTCTTTCCATGAGTCTAGAGTATTCAGCGGCTCCCTCTCTCTATGTCCTCCTCTCTGCCTCCGTATCTGGTATCGCTGCTTCTCTGGATAGGGTCCCCCATTCCATTCATGCTCTTTTCCCTTGATGGTACAAGGGTTCTCTGTTCCTGGACTGTAAGATTAACTACTCCCCCCTTTTTGTTACAAAAACTTCTACCTTTACAATTGTAACAGTTGCAATTAGTTATGGTAACAGTTACTCATTATTGAGTCATAAGAATCATTTCCCCATCTCTTTTCACCAGACCCATCTGCTGCTGCTGTTATGTGCCGTGGAGTCAGTTCCGACTCATAGCGACCCTGTACAGGGTTTCCAAGGCTATAAATCTTTACGGGAGCAGAACACCTCATCTTTCTCCCGGGGAACAGCTGGTAGTTTTGAACTGCTGACCTTGTGGTTCGCAGCCCAATTCGTAACCACTACACTACCAGAGCTCCTTAGACCCATCTAGACATGATGAAAACTATTTTGGGGGGGGGGGGGTAAATACATTTTTATTATCTCACATTATGATCCTGATAACTATTTGGGAGTGTACTTGATTATCATTTGATTTTGTTATACATTTCTTATTTTATATAAGATGTTGGGGTTTTTTTTCTGTTTTTTATTTAATTGGTGGAAATGCCAACAATGGGAAGTAAAAATGCTTTTATTCTGTTTAAAAACTTTAATTTTTAAGGTAACTCTTATGGAGAGCATGTTAATAGGAAAAAGAACAAGGGAGACCATTTTGCTCAATCTGTTTGTTGTTGTGTGCCATCAAGTTGGTTATGACTCATAGCAACCTTATATATGGTTTCCAAGGGCAGCTGCTGGTGGGTTTGAATTGCTGAGCTTGTGGTTAACAGTCCAGTGCTTATCCTACAGCACAACACTGGGACTCATTATGTAAATGCTGTTATTAAATACCTGAATATAGAAAGTTAATATAGGAAATACCTAGTCTATGACAACATAGTTTTATTCATGTTTAATTTTTTCTTATTTGCTTATTTTTATTCATTATTTATCATCTCAAATTCTTTAATTACAAATACTGATTTTAGTAAGGTCTCTAGGGCAGAACTTCATGCTGTTGCACTTAATACTTAATTGATATTCTGCTTACCCATCTTACTCATCTCTCCTATTTTTCTGCTGAGAACACATTTTAATCATGATTATATTACTTGATGAACTGTCAATTAAAATCAGTCATGACAGTTTACTTGTAGTAATATAGATTTTGTAGAAGCAGTTTTGTTTTCCTATTTTTCTTACTTTCTCTTATTTCCACAGAAAGAACATGTTCACTGAATAACTGTACAGTGGCCAAGAGAATCGGAAAAGGAAAAGATGCTACTGTCATCTTTGAGCATTTCAGGAAACCTGTGGATGGATTTGCTCAGGAAAACTGTTCATGCAATACACCTGATTCAGAGATAAAACCTTCTAACTCACATCATTCTAATTCCTATGAAAATGGGCAAAATGGAAACATTTCTATACTTAAAACACATAGTGGACAGACAGAGTACAATTTAGCAAAAAGTGGTGATGCTTCTCAAGTACCTGCACATGATTCAAGTCTTTTATTTATGCCCAGTGATACTACAGAAAATGTTAGTGGTGACCTCTTGTTAAATTGGACAGATCTTAAAAATATTTTAAGTGGCTTTTTCCCCCTTCACAACAATATTGGCTCAAGCACAGTTACTACTTCAAAACTCATAAAAGACCCAAGACTAACGAGAAGAGAAGAAAGCATAGAAAAACAGAATAATAAAACAAGTTTAAATGAGATAATGGCATTTGAGAAGAGTTTAGATACTGGTAATTCAGAAATAAACTTGTCATCTATGTCAGCTAGTTCTGTGTCCTCATCTGAAATCAACGCTGATAATCATACTGTTTTTACTGATTGTTTGGATGCCCCTTGTTATGAAATTCCTTTTGATGATTCACAATCTCAGATTCATAACAAGTACTATAAGGATTATGATTATGCACCTCAAAATAAAATTACTGTGGCAGGACACTGTAAGGAACAAGACACTTTTCCCTTCCCAATTTCTTTGTCAAACGTAGTTTCCGAAGTTAAGCACCAAAAACACAGTGAGGAAAACATCCAGAGATCTCAACAGAGCATTAACATCAGCCCACTTTTAATTAACCAAAATAACAAGCAATATAACTTCTATGAACCAATGGATGCTTGTACAAAAGACTTCAGAAGTCACATCTTTCAGGAATCACAGTCTTCTAATTTAAAAACGATGTGTCAAACTGATCACCAAATGTCTACAATTTCTCCTTTACAAGAGATAGGAAACATTGATACATGTATTCAAAATATTGATATGAGGAACCATAAAACTGAACCCGAAGACAATTCTAAACATGGAGAAAAGCATAATTTGTGGAAGGAAATTGGTCATTATTTTACTAATGAAACAAAAGCCAGTCCAATAAATAATTACATTTCATTGCACCAAGAATGTAACGAGGGTGGTTCTTCAGGGGAGAACTGTGGTCGAATATTAATTACTCAAGAGTTAGAAATAGCAATATCTTCTACATCTACTACAAAGAGTTTATGTGAACTAGACGATCTAGCCGTGGAATTACAAAACAGTCTTTCTACAAGTGTAGAGAGCCTTTTGCAAAATCATCCTCAGAACACTTCAGAGTATGAAAATAATAACATTCATACAAGTTTTGTCGTTTCTCAGAAACAAATAGAACTTAAAAGGGATAAAGATCAAAATTGTGTTAGCATTATAACTGATGCTCTCCAGGAAGCAAAAGACATTTCCCCGTCCAGTGAACTACTAATTGATAGAGTTCTTTCATCTCATGGCATTGAAACAATTCACAGTGATTTCAATTATAATATAACTAAAGAACATGTATGGGTCCGTAAGGAAAATGAAAATGAGCTGGTGTCATTAGAGGACAATCATAAAGATTCCAAAGGTAGTCCTCATATTGAAGATAAAGGTCAAGATAACCCTCTTTTCTGTGATAACATACAACAGCTGAACAATGCTACACCCCTGAATATTTATTTAAAAGAACAAGAAAATAAAAATAAAGCTAATGAGGAAGCTATTGCTTCATCTACAGAGGACAACATAGAGAACATATGTGGAGATGGGCAGCAGATTTTTCATACAAACAAAACTTTTACCAATGAAGATGAAAGGAGGGAGAATGAAAATTGCAACAATGTAGAAATTATAATTTCTGAACAATTGTCTACTACATTTAACATGACCTCAAATGCTGAAGTACAAATAGCTAGTGCTACTATACCTGAATTCACAAATCATGAAGCGCACCAAGGATACCTGTTTAAAGAAGCTTGTTCACCTGAGAGTCCAGATTTTGGTTTGTTAGTAAAACCTAGACTGTTGGGTTGTGAAATTGATAAGGATAAAAATATATTACAAGACTCATTTCATGAATTCATAATAAATGAGAACTTGGCTATTCAAAGTTTAGAATTGGAAAATGAGATTGAAATAGAAACAGAAGAGTATGATGATGCTTTTTTGTGTCAACAAAATACACATTGCCATGGAAATGTGCTTAGTGAAGAACTCTTTGAGGCTTTGACGTCTCGTATCGATTGGGAAGCTCTATTTGGAAGCAGTAACAGGGAGGCAGAGACATTGAAAAACACCACAAAAAGGGAGAATACAGGTCAGCATTACTCTGAGAAAAATGACTGTTTTTATTCTTCCACACAAAACACCAAAGCAGAGCATCTCAACCCAGTTTTACTTCCAGATCTACAGATTAGAATTACTAATACATTTAGGCCAGAATTCAGTCACACTGCTGACTCCCATGCATTGAAAGACAATATTTACAAAGGCATAATTGAATCCACAGAACCAGAAATAAATGAAGAAGAAAAGGTACCAGGATTAAGAATTTATTGCCAGTCTTTTGGTGAAATTTTTGATTACCCTTGTGAGGATAAATTTGATACCATAACACAAGAATCGGGGCTTGTTAGTGAATCTGAAACTTCCCCTTCTTTTCAATTAAGTCAGAATATACACATGAATCACGTGTCTGAAAACCAGAACGGTGTATCTTTGTTTTTTGAATCTTCAAGGGTTGAAACAGTAAATAATGGAAACAGCGGTTCCTTTTCAGAATTAAAAATGGACTGTAATGGTACCAGAAGTAAAACACACATGCAGCCAAGAATTAGTAAAAGAATGCTACAGACGTCTCTTAGGGACCAAGACATATCACATAAAGCTTTAAGAAGTCATGAAATGTATGGGAAAAAGAGGAGATTAACTAGTCCAGATTCATATGAATATTTTTCTTCATTATCCCAAGGACGAATTAAAACATTTTCACGGTCAGAAAAGGACATCAGGAATGTCCTCAATGTTTTAAACAGTGAAGCATCTTTATGCAAAAGCAAACGTCTTTCCAGAAAACTTGACAGAGCTGTTCTTCACTTAAAAAAAGCTCATAGAAGAGTTCACACATCCTTGCAAATAATAGCTAAAGTGGGAGTAAAAAAAAAAGGCCCCTTACCAAAATCATATGCAATAATGTGCAATAATTTCTGGGAAAGTTGTGACCTTGAAGGTTATAGTTCTGTTTATGAAAGAAAATATTCCACTAAGCATTTTTTTCCAAAAAGAAAAGATGACAAAGGTGAGAAAAGAGCTTTAGAATTTCATGTTAATAAATCATTAACTCATGTGTCAAAGCCTAAGTCCTATAAAAGAAATGGAGAGAGAATCACAGAACACCTTTCTAAAAAAAAGGTTTCCAGCACTGTTTCTAGGTATCATACCACTATTCACATGAAAGAATTTTGTGGTCAAGAACAACATCCTGAATCACAGTTGTGCCTATCCTCCACATCCCAAAATACAAGTCTATCAGCTTATAATAGCAACATGAAGTTATCAGGATCATCAGAACTTCAGCCTTTTTCTGGAAAAACTGGATGCCTGTTTTCACCAGACCACCTAAATGAGAAGTTACCTAAAAAGGAAATTCAAATTGATGAAAACCTTTTATCTAACGTATGTAAGTATGAAAAACTTGAGAACCATTCAACACAGAATATAACAAAAGAAAGAAATTTTATGGCTAGTGAACTAACAAATAAAAGTAGCTCAGTATCTTTAAGTTGCATAAAAGAAAGTGTAAGTGTTAACAGTGACAGAAACTGTAATGAAACTCATGTAGCTCACACAGAGGTGGAAACTGATGTACTTATTTCAGTCTCAGAATCAGATGCAAATCACTTATTAAATGTTGATCTCTACAAGCCAATTACCAGTTCATCTGATTGTAAAAGAAACCTTGAGGTAAATTTTCCTCTAGAAAAATGTATGGCTCCTCTTAAGAGCTCTAAACAGAACATTTTCATAAGAAACTTACTTGCAGATTCATTAAACCCAACGCTGATAGCAACCAAAAAGTGTAACAGTATTCCTCGGTTGTTTTCATCTGCTCTAGTGACAAACAGTGAGGGGAAATCTTCTAAATCATATTTAGATAAACAGACATTTTTTGCAACATCCACTACTGTATCACATTATCAGCAGGAATGTGGTGAAAATGAGATTCTAAAGACAGAGCAATGCTCGTCAAATAACTGTTTCCAAATAGATGGGAATGACACAGATGTTACTGAGAACTCCAACTTAGATCTAACATCAGTAATGGAAGGAAATAAAAATGATGGGGAAAATACAATGAAGAGCCTATTTTCCAATGATGGTTTTCTTCTCCTAACAGATAATATAAAGCATTCTTCTTCACAACAATGTATTGCAAAGAAAAACATTCAGGATAGAAAAATGTGGAAAGTTAAACAAGCAGAAAAAACAAAAGATTTCATTGGAGATGTATGCTACAAAAAACACATGACTGAAGAATCATCTCTTAAGACTGAGGACAAAAACCAAAGGAAGAACTTAGAACAAGAAGAATCCTGCTTAAGTGATACAGCAATTAAAAATAACATGAGTGAGTCTCATCTAAGCATTAAAAATACCCCCTCTTCTAAGGCATTGTCTGTGAATAACATAGTTCCTCATCTATTTAACAAAAGAAAGAGAGACTTGAAAGTTAAAGTCAACAATGAGTCTCAGTCTGATTCAACAGTGCATTCAAAAAGAACCTATAATTTCAAACCAGGTATTATAGGAATTAATCACATGCCTATTTTGCATGCCCACTCCGAAACCTCTGAAGTCACTACTCATCAGAAGAAGCCTATATCATACATGAATGAATTGAAAGAAAATCATTACCCTGCTAATTATACTGGTCTCGTAGCTAAGCTATCTCAAATTTTGCAGAGGGCAGATGAAGCATCGTCTTTGCAGATTCTACAGGAAGAAACTAAGGTTTGTGAAAATATTCTCCCTTCGCTTATTGAAGCTTTTGAAAGAAACCAAGGATGTTCACTTGAGCAAATCTTGATTTCACGAGAACTGTTGATACAACAAAACCTGTGGAATAATTGTAGAAACAAATTAAAGCCATGTGCTATTGACTCTTTGGTAGAACTCCAAATGATGATGGAAACTGTTCAATTCATTGAAAACAAAAAAAGACTCTTAAGAGATGAACCAACATTTCGAAGCTTGCTTTGGTATGATGAGACACTGTACAGTGAGCTGCTTGGTGGACCGCGTGGTTATCAACAACAATCCAATTTTTATCCTGCTTTTCAAGGGAGATTAAAATATAATGCCTTCTGTGAGTTGCAGAAATACCATGATCAGTTGATTGAATTGTTTGAAGAAACAAAAAGGGAAGGAAATTCATACTATGCATTCTTAAAATACAAACGACAGATCAAAGAGTGTGAAGCAATAATGAAACATTGTTCTGATTGTTTTGACTTCACACTTTCAGTCCCATTTACCTGTGGTGTTAACTTTGGCGATAGTTTAGGAGACCTAGAAACCTTAAGAAAAAGTACTTTAGAGTTGATCAGTGTGTACAGGAACTCTCCTAAAGTTCATTTGTATCCAGGAAAACAAGACCACCTATGGATTATCATAGAAATTATCTCCTCAAAAGTTAATTTTATCAAAAGCAGTGAGGAACTGAGTATTAAAATGTCCCTTTATGGCCTGGAACATATATTTTTTGACACTGCTAAGAGTATTGTTTGGGAAGAGAGAAGACAGTCTCTAAAAAAATACTCAAGAAAAAAATATAAAGAAATGCTACTGAATATTAATCAAGAGGCTTTTTCTGAATTGCAGAAGATATATGATACTTTGTCTAAAGATTTAAGCAGTGAACAAATTTACAGTATTGGACCTGATGAGGATACCATGATTTCATGCAAAACATCAGATAATCTAATGAATAATGCAACAATTAGTATAGAAAACTATAGGTTTAAGAGTACTTTGCTTTCACACCCAGATATTTGTTGTATTAGTGAAATACTGGATCAAGCTGAATTTGCAGACTTTAAAAAATTACAGGAACTCACTTTGAGATGTACTAGTCACTTAGAAATTTTAAAAAAGTACTTTCAAATGTTGCAAGAAGATAACATAGATAATATTTTTATCACAGAAGAAAATGCTTTGGACATGATGAATACCCACAACCATGGGGCTGTAATTTTAAAACCTGAAGCTATTGAAATATATATTGAAATAGTTATGGTTTTGGAAACAATGCATTTTCTGAAAAACTCAATGGCAATAAAACAAGACAAGCCAAGGTTTCGAGGTATGCTTTGGTTTGATTCATCACTTCTTCCTGAGCTGGTTAATTGTCAAGAAAAAATGGCTAATTTTTCATTTCTTAAAGATAATTCAACAGATTGTCTCTGGAAAGTGATAGATACTGCTATTTCTGAACTTAAGAAAGATTTAGATATTATCTACAAATACGATGAAGCTGTTAACTGTTCATATGCTCTTCATTTGCTCTCAAGAGAACTTGAAGAAGTTTCAGAAATAAAAAAACTTCTAAAGAATTGTAAGTGTTCCATCTCCACATATATTAACTTTGTACCATGTATAGCATCCATAAATTATGGAAGCACACTGACAGAGTTAGAATACAACTACAGTCAGTTTTCTACACTGCTCAAAAATATAATGGCTTCTCCTCGGAAAGACTTAGGAAAAATGGCCCATATTATGAAAGTCATGAAAACTATTGAACATATGAAGATTATTTGTACTAAAAATGCTAAATTAGCCATTTCCTTTATCCTGTGCCAAATGCTGTGTAACAAAAAGAAAGCTTCCCAGTTGAAGAAAAAAGGAAATATGAATATTCATATTCCAAAACATGGAAAGAGCAAAAACAAACCCAACACTTGTATGAATGTGCCCTCAATTCCAGAGTGCATATTCAAAAACATTTCAAATTCCCCTAAAAAACGACCTGTTGTAGACATATATGAAGACTCTCAGGAACAAAAGAAAAACACTATTCTTACCAGTTTTAAAAAGCAAAAGGTAAGAATGTTTTAAACAAAACCTACATAAGTATTCTTTTTGAGAACAAGTCTACTTTATAAGCAAACTATATTAAAGAATTGTAAAAACTGAGAATGCTTTGAATTTTGCCTTGAAAAATATATTTACAATTTAAAATACTGGATTAAACAGTTTATGTTATCTTTAAAATGATGTCAATGTTGACTTTCAATTCATGATTCTGTGTTTGGAAAGAATATCTTGCAAATGTCTGGTTTTTAAAGTTACAGTTTAAAATGAGCTATTTAATTTAGAAAACATTGCATGAAAGTATATGAATTTTAACAGCTTCTTAAGGGAAAGTGTGGTTATGAATGGGGTTAAGTGAATGGCCAAGTATTTATTGAGTAGCTTCTGTACAGCAAGTTTATGCCCACGTAGAGAATATTAAGAGCTGTCCAGTGTAGTCCTGTTCTTCACTGTTAGCTAGTGGGACAAATAACACAAATATTTTTAAATTGATGATTATCAAAGAATTCAAGGAACTTCTATCTAAATACACTTTATCAAATTTTATATCACATTTATTGACAATGTTCTAAGGGTTACATAAATAACCATTCATTATAAAAGCTTTCTGTTGTTGTTGTTGTTAAGTGCTGTCAAGTCAGTTCCGACCCATAGCAACCCTGTATAGGGTTTCCAAGGAGCAGCTGGGTGAGCTTGAATTACCATCCTTGTAGTTCAAATGACTTTGCAGTCTGGCACATTAACCCACAATGCCACACAAGGACTCCGTGTAGTGCTATCTAAATGTAAGGGAACTGAGAAACAAAAAGGTTAAAGTTTTCAAGGTCACAGAGTTAGTAAATAGGAGAACCAGAATCTATAACCAGATAGTGTAGCTCCAAAGCCTGTGCTTTCATTTGCCCTTACCCTCTTCCCAGTAACTTTTTGAGACTTTTCCAGCTCAGAAATTCTCAAAAAGAAGAAATTAAAATCTTCAAATGAAAAGCAGGATTCCTTCTTTGCCTGCTTGTGCTTTCTAAGTCTAATTATATTGGTTATATTAGTTCTAGAGACCAGAAAATAAATCATTTATTGAACTGGGTTTACTGGGAAATGCTTAACAACAAACACATATAAACATACTTCCAAAACACAAGAGCATAAGTTGTGTATGCCTTATCAGGAGTCAAGTGAGGTTTATAGGTATTATGAATGAAAGAAAAAATGAAAGCTTAGACAATTAGGAAGATTTAGTTCTTGGAACACAGACTTTTCCCTTAAATGATCAGAAAGTATCAAGATGAAGGTAAAAATGAAAAAGACATTTCAATTTTGGAAAATAATGTGTAATGAAAAGCATAACGAATGCTTATTGACATTTGAAAGATGAATGTAAGTCAGGAACAAAATTCTAATACATAGGACAAATGTAAGCTAACGATGAAAAATTAAGTGTTGAGTTCTGACTCATGTTGTTATTAGGTGCCATCAAGTTGTACCGACTCATAGCTACCCTATGCACAACAGAACGAAACTGCCTGGTCCTAGGCTAACCTCACAATTGTTGCCACGCTTGAGCCCATTGATGCTGCTACTTTGCCAATCCATCTCTCTGGTGGTCTTCCTCTTTTTCTCTTACCAAATAATGATATCCTTCTCCAGCAACTGGTTCCTCCTGACAATATGTCCAAATACGAGAGAGCACTCTGGCTGTACTTCTTCCAACATAGATCTGTTGGTTCTTTTGGCAGCCCATGGCACTTTCAATATTCTCCTCCAACACCATAACTCAAAATCGTCAATTCTTCTAAGGTCTTCCTTATTCATTGTCCAGCTTTCACATGCGTATGGGGTTATTGAAAATACCATGGCTTGGGTCAGGCACACCTTAGTCCTCAAGCTAACATCTTTGCTCTTCAACACTTTAAAAAGGTCTTGTGCAGCATATTTGCCTAATGCAATACGTCGTTTGATTACTTGACTGCTGCTTTCATAGCAACCCTATATAGGGTTCCAAGGCTGTAAATCTTTGTGAGAGCAGAAAGCCTCATCTTTATCCCATGGAGCAGCTGGTGAATTCCAGCTGCTGACCGTGTGGCTAGCAGCCCAACATGTAACCCACTATACTGCCACTGTTCTTTCTTTTGTAGAATAAGAAAGGAACATTTGTATTTGACAGAAACTACTTAAAGAGTTAATAGTACTTACTGGTTTACTAAGAAAGGCATAGAAGAGAGACCGTCATAAATGTGCTTCAAAATTGGCTTTAAGGTATGAGGAGACGAATAATGTTGCACATTTTCTTCAAAAAATAAAAAATATGGGAATTCTAGCAGAGCCACTAGTTTTAGGGGAGGAAAACATTAAGTTTAGCTTTAGATAGTGCCACAACAATTGTGAATTAAGATATTAAAATAATAAAGCTTTATATTATTGCCACTTAAATTATTGCCAATTAAAATTTTATTTGTGTCTTTTAAACATAGGTTGATATGAAAGATGTCACAAAAATCAATAAAGAGAAGGCAACATTCAAGCCTCCAAGGTAGGAATTGCTATCAGTCTCACCTTAAGAAAAACTAAGCAAAAATGAGCAAATATTAAAGGATACGAATAAAACAATGATTATTTTAACAGTTAAAATACATGTAACTGTATGTTCTAACAGTTATTTAAAAATGAGGACAAGTATCGGCTAAATATAGAGAATAAGGTTGTTTCATATTATAAAATGTCAAGTATTGGCCGGAGAAGTGTGAACGTCTTTCTGTAAGTATTGAAAGGCAGTGTAATGTGAAATTTGGTTTTTGACGATATAAAAGGTAAGGAGATTTTGAATAAAGTTAGAAGAAGTCAGTCGGTCTGACAGACCCAGGGCTTAGAAAGGGTGTTGTTTTATGGAATAATTAGGGAAATTTGTGTTTGACCGATGTTACTTAAAGGATTGGGATTAATGACTGGTTTAATGAAAAGATGTTTAAACCTTTGGATTTTACAAAAATATCAAACCCATTGTTGTTAAGTTGATTCTAACGCATGGCAGTCCCATGTCTTACACAGTAGAACTGTGTCCTAAGTTTTTGAGAAGGCAAGACTGTAATCTTTACAGCAAGATCACTAAACCTTTCTTTCATAGCACCACTGGGTAGGTTCAAACCACCAGCCGTTGGCACAGTTTGTTATAGGGACCTATTACAGACAAGCCATATTTCAAAATTGGTTATATTTTTTATATTTAACCAATGTAAATATCAAGAGATATAAAGTCACCAACTTATATAACTAAGTAGAAACATTAGTACAAAGAGTATAATGTATGCATGCTATAAATATACTACTGTTTCATAAAAAGAATATTTTAGCACCATAAGGCTGACAGTTCAAGTCCTCATAGGTGCCTCAGAAGAAAGGCCTGGCAATCTGCTTCTGAAAAACCAGCTGTTGAAACCCCTGTGGCGCACAGTTCTAGTCTGATACACATGGGGTCGTTGTGACCAGAAGCAACTCAGTGGCACCTGGTTTACCCATTTTAAATTGCCAATAGAATGAGAAAAATGTAAATCTAAAGAATTCCTAATGAATAAAAATTTCAAATAGATACTTCTGTTATGTGAAGCTGTATACTTAAAGTTGTCTGTATTGTATGTATGTATTACACCTAATAGGACTACAAGATCTCATTCCCAAAGTGAAAACAAAGTAAGACCAAGTTCATCTGACAGTCTGAAAAGAAACCATGTATCTCCAAAAAAGGCGGAAATGACAAGATCACTACCTGGCTCACTTTTACCTTTCAAAGACTTAAAAGACACTTGCACAGCAAAATCAGAAAACAGAATAGATTTAGTTAGTATTTCATCTGACATTTCAGAAGACTTCACAGGGAAACAGAGAAACTTAAATAGCATGAAGGAAAATATGACTTTTAGTACTGCTGCAAAAAAAAGCAATAAGAAAGCATATCCTTTTTATGAAAAATATGGTCAAAAAAGTGCAGCTAACTCATTTTCAAAACACCGTGACACACCTTCAGAGAAATTTCTTCAAATTTCACCAGATCCTGCACAGAAATCTTGTCCATCAAACATTAAACCAGGAACTGAAACTGCTTTCTTGACTGAAACATCAGTGCTCTCAAAGCCTGTTTTTCACTTTGTGAAGGACACCTATACCAATCTAGAAAATAAGGACCATGTCCTTGAACTTCAAGATAATGAAATGTTAAGTTTGTCTTCTGAAAACTCTACATGTGCTAATTCTTCAGAGCTGTTGTTTATTCAGAACAAAATTCCTGCTCTTCAAGTAAACGAAATACAACCTGAAAAATTTGAGTCAGAGGAAAAATGTATGAAAGATACACTGAGCCCCAGTACTATTCCTATTGGAGCATCTGAGAACATAAACCTCAACCTGAATCAGACAGCAGAGTACATTCTTTCTGAACAGCAGAGTAGTGAAAATTCAAAAGCCCTAACTCAGAATGCTGCCATGCATTGGAATGGACTTCCACAGTCTGCATGTACCCCAATGTATAATTCTTCTCAACATTCATTTGGAATGTCATATCCTTGCTATGCTTTATGTATTTATCATTACAGTAACATCAATGGCAGTTCCATAACCCAGACATACCAAGGGATAACATCTTATGAAGCCCAAGCACTTCCTTCTGGGATGTTGACTACAGTTGCAAGCTCTGTCCAAAACACACATTCTAATCATTTTTACTCTCAATATTTTGGTTATGTTGCTGAAGAACCACAAACCAATGACTTTATGCCCATGAGTAGGTATTTTCAATCTCCAATGCCAACTCCTCCTTATAATTTTCAGCAGCCAATTTTTCTGCAGTCTGCTTCCCGTCAAGCTGCACACCCTTGCCCTCCTAATCCTGGTGTGCTTCCAGAAGTTCCTTGGATTTACGGTGAGTTTCACTAAGGTTTGCTTTTTAACTTTGAAATCCCATACAAGTGATCATGTACAGCAGTCATTTTTCTGTGCAGATTTGTAGAATTTTTCCTGTATTAAGCAGAGTTGAATTACATTATCAGATGGGAATCTAGTTGCCAGCGATATAGAAAAGAGTCCTGGTATGGTGCTGTAGGATTAACGCTGGACTGCTAACCCCAAGGTTTGGCAGTTCAAACCAACCAGCCGCTCCTTGGAAGTCCTATACAGGGTCGTTGTGAGTTGGAACTGACTCCACAGTACTTAACAACAACAATAGCATTAATATGTCCTTCAGTAAAAGTCAACGTTAGATAACAATTAAGTAAACGATAGTTAATCCATGCGGTGAAATATGATACATCCATTAAAAGGCCTATAAAATTTATTAATGATAATTTTTAACTGCATATCATAAAAACTTAACCTATATAAATGAAGAAAGGCTTAGAAATACTGAAAGGAAATATACCAACACTTGTGTACCTTTGGGTGTGTTTGTGTTTTCTATATTTTCTATTATGAACTTAACATTTTGATAATTAAGAAGAAAAATAGTAAAATATCAAGGAGGAAAAAGAGAGTTCAGTCAGATAAACATTAGCCTTTCTTCCGGTCATTTTCTCTGTGTGTATTCTAATAATACTTTGCTGTAGGTGGATGGAGTTAATTGAAATACATTAGTAGAAGAATTTTAAAGTTTGCCACTAAAACTTGAAATTTTTACTCTTTTAAACAGATTTTTGAAATGTCATGATCAGAAAGTAAAGTTTTAAAATTAAATTTAAAGAAGTGTGTATCTACCATAGTTTGAAGCAAGATTTAAAATAACTAATAATTCAGAAAAAAATAAGAGTTAAACAGACATTAACACCCAAAATATTCTACCATCAGATATAAAAATATTAATATCTTTAACATAGAAATGCAAGAGAATTTCTTGTAAAATGCTGTTTCAGAATCCTGGATACTCTTACAAATGGATAAGTAGAACAAATTAACTGAGAAGTCATTTACCTGAATTAGACAGGAAGCAGCAGCTGGTTAAATTAACGTTATTCTCTTTCTAATTATGAAATCTGATCATGTCAGCAGCCCTGCATTGAAAATCCCCACTGGTTCCCTATGACCTGTAGAATAAAATTCAAGTACTTTAGCTTACAATTCAGGGCCATTCACAATTCTGTATATCCTGTCTCATTCCCCACCACTTCTGTACTCACATTGAATTGTTCTGTGCCAATATAACACTTCCTCTAGCACTTCCATAGTATTTTTTATGTGCTTTACTCACATGCTAAGAAGGCATGTGAATATTATGTGATATTGTAATTATGTGTGTACTTTCCCTTATCTCTCTTTCCCATCAAATTAAACAGGACTAGAACATTTATACCTAAAACAGAACCTGGAGAGAACAGTATATGATTTAGCTTTTTCCTTTATAATTAATTTTATACTACTGCTATAGTGATAAATGCATCAAACAAAGTGAATATGGCAAACCTATGGATTAAAGTAGATGCTTTAATTCCTGAAATAGGAAATCTTGATATAATTGTTTCACAAACTATCTCATATCATCTATTCTGGTAAGCTGTTGATGATACTAAAAGATGGTTGGAGGGCATATCCAGCTTTAACTTTCAAGATATTGATACCCTTGGGTTATTTTAACCAAAACCAAACCTCCTGCCATTGAAGCAATCCTGAATCATAGCTGCTCTATATAGAGTTTCTAAGGCTGTCATCTTTACAGGAGCAGAAAACCTTGTCTTTTTTCCTCTGAGTGGCTGGTGGGTTTGAATTGGCAACCTTGTGGTTAGCAATCCAGTGTTTATCATACAGCATCACAGGTCTCCTTTGTTGTTGTTAAGTGCCTTCAAGTTACTTCTGACATATAGCGACCCTGTATAGAACCTCCAAGGAGCAGCTGGTGGATTTGAACTGCTGACCTTGGTGCTTCACAGTCCAGTGCTAATCCTAGAGTGCCATACCAAGAGTGTTACATTAGTCGTGTGAAAACAAAAGAAAGCAAAACTATTCTAATTAGTATGCAATTGCTCTGTTACAAACACATCTTTCTGTTTTCATGAGTGTTTTTATAATCCTTAACACCTCTCACACTCAGCCTGCATTCCTTTAAAGACATAAACAAATCCTTATGACCTATTTGACACTGTTTTGCTCATAATGCTTGTGTATTCAACATCAGAAAGTGGAACCAAAGGAAAGGGCTTCATTGAGCCCTGTGTGCCAGAAACATTACACTATTTACTCCATTTAATTCTCTTAGGATACCTGAGAGAGATGTGGAGATATTACTGTTCTTAGACAGATGAGGAAATTACTCCTTGGAAAGCCTTAATTTTCTCAGGATCCCATGGCAAATGAAGGGCCACAGGTGTGTGGTTTCAACTCCTGATTTCTTTGGCTCTGACTTCAAGATCATGTTCTCCCACTATGCTATTAGGATACAATTAGTCTTTATCATTAACTTAGTTCAAATCTTTGTGGTTTTTTTCTTCTAGCTCCATGGCAACAAGAATCCTTTCAGCCAGGACACTGAAAATAATTTTCTGTGTATTGAAATAAAGGAGATTTAACAGAATTTTCCATGATTGTTTTGTTTTGTTTTTACTTAATATACTTTTTATTTTAACATTGAACATTTAAAAATGTATGTAATGTAATGTATGTAAATGTGGTAGGAAATATAAATCATAACTCTTTATACAATCTTTAAATGCAACAGTGTACCACATAAGTCAACAGGAAATCGGTTTGTAATATCTGAATATAGGCTATTATTTTTAATACCTACTTAGCCATCAGAAACATTAGCACAGTATTTTGAAATTTATTTTTTTTAATGTTACTATCAGTAAAGATTTTCTTTGAGATTATTCTAATGATGTTACACCAGTAAATACAGCATTTGCTATGATTAAGATTAAGGAGCAGTAGTAAAGTCTTCATGAGAAAAGTTTTTGTTTCTGATATTTTTAATATTTACATTGTGCCATTGGATTTAGATGAAGGTAAGAAATTATTTTACAATTGTCATTAGACCAGTGATTTGATCATTCTTGACATGTTATTGTGATTTTGTGATTTATAATTCTGTTGTGCGTGACATGAAAAATTTCATTTTCAATATTTTGTTATTTTCATTTATAAAATGTTCTTAATAGAGAAACTTGCTTGCATATTTAAGTATTTTTGAGTAGATATTTTTTTAAATTATATGTTTGATGCATTTTTAGTTCATTATACTGAAACTAAAACACATTTAACACCCTTATATTTTATAACACCTTTTCTAAAAGATTATTATGTCTTTTATATTTGTACTTCACAATTTAAGTGATTTTTTTAAATGATTTTGTAGCAAAAGAAGAATATAATATCTTTAGCTTATGTTGTTAGTTAAATTAAAATATTGTAATAATTTAATTGAGCACAAGATTTTTTGTTGTTGTTGTTGTTAAGTAGTCAGTAAAAGTAAAATATCTTCTAGTAATAATCATTGCAGGACAGCAGAGATGGTAGTAACTGTTGTCTGGAGCAACCTTTCTGTCTTCTTATTCAACAACCAATCTAGTGGTTTGTAGCATCCTGTCAGAAAGATCCCTCACAACTGGATAGAACTTTCTCAAGTGCTAGTGAGCCATAAAATATGACAAGTGATTTGCTCTGACTGAATCTGAACAGATAGCTAGCCAAAGCCTTCAGTGTTTTCTCAAAATTTTTTATGTTAACAAACTTGTTAGCCTAGAATAGCCTTCCAAAGTCAGTGTAATTCATGACGACTATTACAGAGTAACTAAATTTTCAGTTTAGAAAAACACTGAGAACCCCCCGAGAAACATCTCTTAGGGACATTAACAGTAGATGGAATTCAGAATTACTTTAGAGTTCTTCTCTGACAAACATCTTTTTAAAAAGAAAACTCAAGCAGAGAACTGCAACTAAAAGTAAAAAGGAATTTGAAAAGACCATAGAATTACAGCAGTATTAGCATAACTATTTTTGTCAGTATAGTTGTTTTATTTCAAAACAGTCTTGTCAAAACCACCAGAGCTCTTCTTTAAAGGTATTAAAGAACAGTTAACGTTAACGGTTATTCAACAAATAACTTTTTCTCAGCCATCTGGTTTGTATTTGGTAATGGAAAAATGTTCAAATTTACTATTAAATTTTTCCTATTAAGGAAACTAAAAGTTAAATATTCTTGTCAAGGACTCTTTCTTTAAACAACTTTCTGATCCTGTTGACTTTGTGACATTTCCATTTCATAGGTTTTAATTTCTTTAAAATTAAAAAACTTTATCTCAATATTCAATTACTTGGAAAAATCTGCACCTTGAAGCAAAATAGGAAAAATAATTATTTTCTTTTTTCCTCTTAAGTATATGTTTTGCTTCTACAAACAAAGTTAGAACAAAATTGATATGAGAGAAAACATAGGGAAAACTGCTTGTTTGTAAATACTGTTGTTTTGGGAACTTAAAGAATTATCTGAATAAACTGGATTCCTACTTTTAGGGTGGGTTTGTTGTTTTTTTTCCTTTTGAGTTTCTTGAATAAAATGAATACTGTGGACAATCTTTGGTTAACGTGTGTCTGTTACATGACATACAACCTGCAAAGGACTGACTATATATATGCCATTGAAGCACCTCTTCTACTCCTCCTTTTGCCTCTACCTCCTTTTATATCTTCCTTTTCTCCTTCTTCAGAGACTTCATTGCTGCCTGGAGTTTCGTATGAAAGCCTAAAACTGTGCTCTCAAGCAGTTTCATTTATATTCAAAAGTGCCATGTAATAAATAAATTAAGATAATTCCAAATACTAATGAGCTGCATTGAAAAGCATCAACAAAGTTATGGAATAGAGGAACAACTGGATGATACATAGAGGTGTTCAAGTAAGCCTCTTTGAGGAGGTAGACATCAAACGTTCAAATTCTTATATTTTAGTTCGATCATTCGGCCTTCTACTAATAATATATAAAGTACTTCTAAAATTTGAGTTCTGAATTATGACCTTGTCAATTTAAAATTATAAGCCAGCTTGTGTTTCATCACGATTACATTCAAGCCATGCGTGTTTGGTTGGAATATGACAAGTGATGATGCTTGCTTTCATTATATTTTATAAGGTGCACTGTGATGTGATTTCCGTTTGTCCCACTGTTGATGAGGTGAACTTTGCACTTAATTAAGGTGATGTGCACCAAGGCATTTTACTCTCTACAGTGTAGTTACTCCTTTCTTCTTTCTTTGTACTAAGTGCTTTATTTGATGATCAAATTGTCTCTGATGTGGCCATTGGAAGTCCTTTAATTGGTATCTTTTGACATTCCCACATCATTCTTAGATGTGGGCTCAACAAGTTATTCCAGGCTAATCTTATACTTACGCCTGCCACAGTTTAGAAATCAGCCATTTCATTCATGAATCCTGGTTTCTTTTAATGAACAGGGTGCTTCGGAACCTAGATCAGCATGCTAGGTGTACTCATTGCTGCTACCAAGCCTTTTCACAGTATACTTGGACACACACACAATTTACACCTGTGGTTTTTTTTT